ATTAATAACATTACCATTATTTCAAGAGTTATTAGGATTAGAGAAGAGAATGACATAGAAATTTTAGCAAAATAAGTAGCACATAGTGAGCACTTCATCACTGGTCCAAGTGATGACACCTTATCAGGTTTATGCTCACCTCTATAACATATCTGAATGTATACTGAGGTAGTTTAACACAGGGAAGTTGGTTTCTGGCTGTGTAACAGCACTGTGTGGGTGTCCCAAGTTAGTGGACAGCTCTCCCCTATACAGTGATGCAGGGATCCAGGCTCTATATTCTCATGGCTCTTCCATCTCGTGGCCTCAGAATCCCTTCTATTAAAGCAGAAGGGGAAACAGTCTGGAAGAGTGTGCAAGGGAGGTAGACCAGCCATGCAAGGGGCCCCATCAATTGCCCTGCACATTCCATTAGCCAGAGCTCAGTTATGTGGCCATACCTACCTGCTAAGGCCTCTGGGAAATGTCCAACTCTGTGCCCAGGAAGAGGAGGGAATGGTTCTTGGTGACAGTCTCTGTCATGAGTACTTTCTTAGGCACTTGGGGCATTGCAGGGAATATGGCACAGCCCCTGCCATCATGGCCTCATGTTCCAGTTGAGGAAAGAAATTGAGTTAATAGATTCCTGTAAAGCATCATAGTGCTGGGACAGGGGAAGCACAGGATGCTTTAAGAGACAGAAGGAAAGGTCTCACTCTGTCTTGGGTACCACTGAAGCCAAATTGTGCAGGATGGATAAGAATTAGCCAGGGGTAGGTGGAGAAAAGGTGCTTCAAGATGGGGGAACAGAACATGCAAAGGCTCAGAGGTGAGAATGAGCATAACAAACTTAGGGAATCTGCTGCCATAGATCAGAGGGGCTGCAGTTCAGAATTTAAACAGAAGAGTAAAAGTTGATGAGGGAAGACAGTAAGGCAGGAACCAGTAGTATGAAAGCCACAAATGTGGGCCAGGACACCTGAACACCGAGGTCTAGTACAAGTCTGTTTCTGAGCTTTCTCTGAACTACCTCCAGGCTGGACAGAGCAGTGAGCATGGGGGCTGGTGTTCTCTCTTGTAGATAAGAACCGCTGGGAGGAGCCTGGCCAAAGGCTCCACACTATAGAGGCCACATCCTATGCCCTGTTGGCTCTGCTGCTGCTCAAAGACTTTGACTCTGTATCTCCTGTTGTGCGCTGGCTCAACGAGCAGAGATACTACGGAGGTGGCTATGGCTCCACCCAGGCAAGTGGTCCCACATCCCCCAGGCAAATGCATCCTTACCTCCTCTGGCCTGGCTGGCCACCCAGATAAGATGCTGAGACCAAGAGAAGCAATTGATTTGGAATGAAGTTGAGAAATCAGGTTTCTGTTGTGTTTTGTTTTTGTTGCAAATCTGTTTATGGATTCTATACTAAATTCTGGATGCTTCAAACTGCATTTTGAGACTCCCTTTCCCTCCTGGCGTCCAGATCATGTTCTCAAGGCCCAGGTTAAGGGGTGAGCATCTCTCTGATGGTTTCTAGACCATGTTTCCAGTTCCACCAGGCCTCTCATCTTATCCTGTTCCACTGGTGGGTTCTAGACCAATTCTCAATTATTATAGGGAATCAGTCCATCTCTCCCTCTGGCTGGTTCTAGACCATGCACTCACTTCCACAAGGCTCCCAGTGTTACCTTGTCTTACTATGGGTTCTAGATCATGTTCTCAGTTTTGTAGAGTCTTATCAAACCCTTCTCTCTTCCAGCTGGGTTCTAGACCACAGTTTCAGCAACCTCAAGTCTAGCAAGCTCAGGCTTCAGTTTGATCCGCTTTCTCTCTGGTGGCGTTCTGAGATATTTAATAAATCCTCATCCAAGGATATGTTTTTTGATTTGAGAGAGAGAGGAAGGGAGAGACAGAGAAAAAAAAACACACACACATTGATGTGAGAGAGAAACATCAATGGTTTTGTTCCCATATGTGTCCTGAGTTGGGATGGAATCTGCAAACTTTTGATGCATGAAACAATTATCCAACCAACTGAGCCACTTGACCAGGACTCAGTATCACTTTTGGATTCTAGATTATATGCTTAGTTGTCCTCGGGTTCCAATTTTATTATTTATTCACAAATGGGCTCTAGATACATTCTCAGTGTCTGCGAACCCAGTGTTAGACTCTCTTCTCTGGATGGGTCTATACCATATTCTCAGTGTTGCTAGACCTTCAGTCATTTTTTTTTTTTTTTGGCAGCTTTTGGCATGTTTTTATTGTATATATTTATTTATTTATTTTTAATATATTTTTTTATTGTTGATAGTATTGCACATATATTTGCCCCCCTTTCCCTTCTCCTCCCAGTCCCGACCCACCTACCCCCAAGCCTTCACTACCTTATTGCCAGTGTCCACGGGCTAGGCATATTAGACCTTCAATCTGATGCCTGCTCTTTCTCATGTATTTAGACATGCTCAGTGTCTCCACACTCTGGTGTAAGCCTCTGTCCCTTGGAGAATTCTAGGAGATGTCCTCAGTGTCTAATGACTCCCCATCTTACCCTTGTGCCCTCTGGTCCCATCTAGGACACAGTCTTAGAGTCACCAAGCACTAGATTAAGCCCCTCTCTGTGCGAGAGCTCTAGAACATGTCTTCAGTATATAACAACCCCCATTCTTATCCTTACCCCCTCTGGTACATTTTAGGCCACAGTCTCAGTGGCCCAGCTCTAAGCTGAAACTTTTCATCCCCCAGCAGGTTCTGGCTGCTTCTGTCTGTCTCTCAAATCACCCTCTTCTTCTCTCATGGGTTCTAGGCCACTTTCATGGTGTTCCAAGCCTTGGCCCAATACCAGAGGGATGTCCCTGACCATGAGGATCTGAATCTGCATGTGTCCATTAACCTGCCCAGCCGCAGCTCTGCGGTCACGCACCGCATCCTCTGGGAATCCGCTAGCCTCCTGAGATCAGTAGAGGTACAGCTTCTTGGCCATTCCCTCCTCGCTCTCATCTTCCAGCCAGTCAGAGTCTGTAGGAGGTAGGAGGGAGGGCAGGTGACCTTTGCAGCCATGGAAGGCTTGGCTCTCAACACCTTCTCTTCTCTCCCCACTCCCTGCAGACCAAGGAAAATGAGAACTTCACATTAACAGCTAAAGGGAAAGGACAAGGCACCTTGTCGGTAAGGACCGGAGCCCACACCTGCTTTGCTCACCACCTTCTCTCAGCCTCTCTTCCCCAGAGGGACCATCTCATGCCCAAGTCAAGTTTGCTGACACCTCATCTCCTCTCCCATCTCTCCAGGTGGTGACAATGTACCAGGCCAAGATCAAAGGTGGTGCCCCTTGCAAGAAGTTCAGTCTCAGTGTTAAGCTGCGACCAGCCCCTGAAGGTAGAAGGAATAAAGACCCTATCTGTCTCCCTTCCCCCACTGCCATTCTAGTGTCTGCCCTGCTCCTGAATCAGGACACAGACAGAC